ACTCAAGTTGTCCAGCCCCATGACTTTGCTACCTTTTTCTCGAGTCTACGGGGGACGAGGATCTTCAAGCTTCTTTAAGACCCTTAGAAAGTCGCGGAGACACACGCGCGCTTGCCATGTTGGGCATTCGCAGGAGGCAGTTCATTCCAGAATTCAGCCCTGAAAATGTTGGTTGTGCTTCCTTTCGCCTGAGCGGCCTTAACATTTAGAAGTCCTTCGTGCTCTTCTTGCAGTGCCAGTCGGTCTTATGATGTGCAACACCCACCTCCTCTGCAAGCGGCAGTTGCGGAAGCTGCTCCTGACAGCAGATTCTTAAGAGGTGGACGTGGCCCTCAAGAATGCTTGGCGTCAGCCCTTCGAGAAATAGGCTGTGGCTTGCGACAGTGTTTGCCACTGCGGTCTACTACGGCCGTGAACTTTGCAAGTTTTCAGCAGGGCTTGCTGAAGGGCTTTGGCGTCTGTATTGAGACCTGCCTTTGGGTTTTCTTCGGCTAATGCATTAATGCGATGGAGTGCTCAAACATCAAGAACAGCCTTGCTGAAAACTGGGAGGGCCGTGTTCGACGTTCGGGCACAAACCGCCAAAAGACACACCTGTAGAAACAAAGACGGCGCTTGTCATCACTCAGGCCAAGGGAGAGCCAAGGACTGGTTTCATTGAGTACTGTCTTGCATGTAGGTTTCGAACTTGCCCTACATCCCGCATTCACGCGCAGGAGCGAGACTCAGCGAGACTTTAGCAACTTGCACCTGGTCAGAATACAAACTGCAAAAAAACACTATTTAGGGAAAGACTCCTCTCCTTGAGAATCGGCAGCACAAGAAGTTGGCAGCCAGGGCTTTTCAGACTTAGCCATGTGGTATGTAGTTGAACAAAGGTCCAATGGAGTTCAGGCGGAGTGAGCAGCCTCATCATACAACAACACCGCCTGGCCTCGCCCGAAACCCGACACGTTCGAACCTGAACCCCCGGTTGCGGTCTCCTCGTCCTGCATCTGTAGCTCTGCACCGGAATCCTGGCAGAGTCCCCAAGCACCACCACCGGCCGCCATCGTCATCATACTCGTCATCAGCATCATCACCACCATCATGGCCATCATAATTGTCGTCATCATCATCATCATCATTGTGATTACTCCGGGTGGTCCCGACTTTATGGACAATTCAGGAAGAGAGGTTAAACATGCCTGGTCCCGACTTTACGGACAATTCAGGAAGAGAGGTTAAACATGCCTATATATCTGCATCAGAAGCTCAGGACCTGGACTGAAGTCTGCGCAACAGAAGCCTCAACACTGTTGCGTGCTTGATATTTATTGCCCACGCCCACGATGTCATCTTCATTGCGCATCATCATCTGAGCCGTAGTCATCCTACCCGCCACAGCAACAGCACCGGCAGCAGCTGCAGCTCGACAGTGGATCAACCCAGCTTGTACCTAATTTCCGAGTAAGGGATGCGGAGAATCAACAGCCCAAGAGTGTGGGAGCTAGGCATTTCGACCCCGTCTCATCCTAACCCCGGAGACCTAAATCCCGTGCGCGGGGGTGTGCGGGTCGGAGGGCAAGTTGGCAGGATTGGCACTGGGCGTCGTGCCAATCACCAGATCATGACGGCCCAAGCCTGAGTGGGCATAGCCGACAGCGTCGAGAATCATCGAGAATGTCCCATCAAGATGTCAAACAGTACAGGCGAGTCGAAGCGAACCCCAATAATCAAATCCATACAGAGGTCTGGAGGCCCTAGAGAATCACCGGGGACTTGGGGGCTGTGGGGAACGCGGCAAGGTCTGGTTAGAGTTTAAGTTGGGGGCTTCCCCTGCGGGGGGGTTCTCCTTGCCCTTTGAGAGCAGTGGCAGTGTGTTTGATCGCTGCATCTCGCCGCTGGTCTAAGCTGCGATGAGTGAGAACGGGAGTTAGTTTACTGATTTCCTGATGTTCTGGGTGTTGTCGGGGTTGGTCCCGGGGAGGTTTGTGCTGAGATCGCCGCGCCCTGAGTCAGGAGGGTTGATGAGCATTGGTGGGGCTTCATTCGTCGCGCCCGACTACTATGCCACTGACAGACTGCAGTACGCAACTCGGTGCAACCACGCACGGCACCCCTCATGGCAACATTGAATGTGACATCAGGTCTAGGCCTCTGAGCCTGCTGCTTGTGCAATGACAAAAAGGGTCTCCAGGAGCTTGTCGACCTCGCCTCGGATCCGCTTGAAATAGGCTTGAATGCACTTGAAAGGCCGCTTGTCATAGATCGAACGTTGATCCGAGAAGGCGGCTGCATGGAAGCTCCATCATCACCTGCCGAAGAGCTCCCCAAGAGCGGGTTTTGCACGCTGTCACTTGAAAATTTCACGCAACTCGCCTAAGAAGCAAAAGGCAAATGGCGTCTTGCTCTCAAGCTCATAATGCGATCGCAGGCCGCGCCACCTGATCTCCCCGATCGAGAAGCAAAGTGAAGGAAGGCACCGAAAGCACCGAAGTCACCCTACAGCCACCTAAGCTGCAAACCTTTGCCAGTGGCTGCCATGTCTCCAGCTCGCCTTGCAACAAAATCTTTGACATACCTTCTCAACCAAGCACAGAGCCACTGAGGCCAACACGACTACGGACCCAGACCATGTCCTCGTAAGTCCGGTTTTGAGCAAAGAACCATCACCGTCACTGATGTTTGTGTGTGCAAACTGCACGTGTTAAGACGCTGGCTTCTGCAAGCTCACGCGGAAGTGCGATCCCCAGTCTGCTACGGTAAACCCTACGGTGCAGAGCCACACAGACAGCGAGTGTAGCAGGTTCAAGATTGCTTTGGAACTTGAAAAGTCGTGAAGACCGATCGCCCCGGCAAGCATCTGCAGACGCGATGTAAAAGCAAAGACTAAGATCTAAAGAATGTTGAAAATGACAACGAAGCATCAGACCGCTGCGAGAATCATCCTCAGACCAAGAGTGACGTGTGTCATTCTAAGTATCACATTGTCAGCATGGCTACATTGTTACTCTTGTTATTGCTAGTGTTAGCTACTGATAGTTACGCTTGCTATAGTATCACTGTTATTCATCTTCCTGTTCTTTTCTGATGTACGTCGTCAGTGTTGTTGATGGTTGTCCTTCCATGAAATGCAGGTGGTCTTTTTCCAGGGACAAAAGGGACAAGAAGGGCCGAAAACGGTGCCGACTCAGTGCCGAATGGTGCGCTGTTCCACACCCGCTGTGATTACTGATTGCTGACCAAGCAGCTTGTGTTGAGTGGGAGGGAGGGCGGGAGGCTGAGCATTTTGAGGGCATGGGGTGTTGGGAAGGCTGCGACATTTCGGGTTGAGCTTGAGGGTTCGAGATCTTGGGTGGGCGTTTGTGAGTGAACCTTGGGCTATCAAACTGACAGTATCTCTATCGACTCTATCTGCCCTCCAACCTAAGCTAACCACCCGAAACATCCTTGGGGCCACCTGTGCCCTTCTCTCTGGTCTTCCCGATTTAGGCTGCCTTCTTTTCTTGAGCATGACCCTGATCACGCGGCGCTCGGGTCACTGTTGTGTTTGAAGGCGCGTCACCAATGGAACTCACCGGGGCCCTCGTCGCATGACCGGAATCAAGGGGCCCAGCGTCCGCGTGAGGGCAGCAGTGCAGCGCGATGCGTCCATCCCAGTTGAGTAGTGAAGTCTGTGTGACAGTTGCAGAAATTACCGCACGAGTCGGACCAGCAGAGTCAACACAACAAAGCATTTCTTTTCAGGCCTGGGCAGGCCCACCAGTGAGGGGTCGGAGGAGCGAAGTGCAAAGGCCACCAAGCTCATCCGAGGAGCCCGTTCGTTACTTCTGGCTTGACGACGGCACCAAGAAGTCGAAAGCTCCCACGACGTGCAGTTGCCTTTTGCGCAGCAGGTCGCGCGTCCTGCCAGCATCGGCAAGAGATCAAGCGTGCCATGGACGGTCACCCTGGACGCCTGCAGCCGAGATAGATATAGGGCGGCGCCTGTTCACGGACCTGACGGCTGCATCTTGATCAGCGCGACCTTGCCACTAGTCCATAGACTGTTTCGTCTGACTTGCATAAGATCTCCGAGGACAGCTCGAACACCTCCAGGGCCATGAGCTCTGAGCCTCTGAGCTCTGAAGCTGAGCCAGCTGCCAAGAGCCCGCTGCTGGCCTTGAACGGCGCCAATCCAAATTCAGCGTTTGCGGTGAGAGCGATAGCCCTCCCGCCTCTGACCTGCGTAGCTGAAGCCGGGTTGGCCATCTTCATCTCCTCGCTGTCACATCAGGGTGTCTGTTGCGCACCAGTGCACTCACGGACTTTGCGAAGACGCCAGGCACCGTCGCAAGTTCATGCTGGTGATGGTGGAGGACCCGGAAATTCAATGGACGGCGTTGGATGGGTGGTCGTAGCGCACCTTCGGCTGCACGACGCATGCCAGAAGCGCGCACTTGCTGTTCCTTGTCGTCTTCGCGCCCCAGTCGAAGCTGGCAGCCTGGGTGTGGAGCCAACCTTCTCCTTCCAGCCGGGTAGATCTGGTCGGCATCCTCCTGGAAGGTGGGGAGAGCGGTCTTGGCATACTCGATGACGCTGAAGTGCCTGCAGTTCCGGGGATAACTTGGTCTTCCTGAGAACATTGCATGGCTTCAACGCGGCACTCACCTGACACGGCAAGCCTCGAATGGAGCTTCGCCGCAGCTGTCATGAAGCCCCTGCATTCAAGAAGGCAGTGGAAGCAAACGCAAGCAAAGGAAGTTCGACTGTGCCTGTGGAAAAACATGACAACCCGTAGCTTTGCTGCGGCCTATTTCCAGCTGGTGTGTGTGGGTGCACGTGCGGGCGTGTGGGTGTGCGCATGCGCGTGTTTAGTCCATCAGCACTTCTTGCACGGGCACCAATGAGTTTGACCCGCTAGAATTGCGCCATATTGCGCCCGTGGCTGCTCCGAAAATAGAAGGGAAACACCTGCAATGAGGAACTGTGTTCTACCAAGAACCCAAACCCCTAAACGCATTGAGGTCAAGGCCAGCCTAAACCACCACGTCATCATCGCGCACATGATCTGCCTTGGAGTGTTTAGTCTGTCAGCCCAGATGTTGTTTCGTGTTGTAGAGGGAGCTTACAGGGCTTGTGTTCCGCCGGCCAGCGCAATCTGAGACTTGCGCCGGAGCGCAGCAGAAGCTGTACCATCCCCACGTCCAATAGTCCGCCGCGTCGCTAACCTGAGCTGAATTGCATGATGAAAGCACATCCACTTCGCTCTGGCAACCTGCAGAGTCCGCGGCCCAGGATTGCAGAACACGCTGGAAGATCTGCCGCTGCTTCTGCCAGTCATGGGCCATTTGCAAGTCAAAAAGCAAAAGAAGAACGGCTCATGTCTACTGCAGCGCAGTCCTGCTCTTGTTGGCGACGCTTCTGGCGGAGGGACTCCAGATAGGCCTTCAGCTCCTCAATGGTCATGGCGTCCAGGTCAGGCCTCCCCATGGTTACCTTCGCACGTGACACCAAAAAAAGAAGGGCGGGCATCACACAGGCACCGACTTGCACTGAGAACCTGGCAAAGCGAAGATGCTTCTGGAAAAAACCCGGATTTGAACGAAGCAAAGCAGGCTGCGGAGCAGAATTGCGTTGCCCGAGCATTTGCGTGCGGCGGGGCACAAAAGAACAGCAAATGGCATGGCCGCAGCGTACCGTGGCTGGTTACACAAGGTAGGCGCAACATGCAAGGAAAAGCATCATCCCGACTTCACACACGTCATTTTTTGGCGCAGCTTCACGGCACAGCCCGTCCCGGCTCTGCAAAGATCTCGCCGCGGCCTTCTTGGAGACCGGCCTATAAAGAGCTAGAGTCGCCTGCCCTGCTCAGCATCAGGATCTACTGCAAGCCAGGATCCTCGCAGGAACGCAACGCAAACATGCTTCATATAATTTGGCTGTTGAAGCATATGAGGTCCAAGCTTTCAGGATGTCAGAAGGGCAGCAACAGGCGAACATGTTCAAAAGGCTGCAGCCTCGGATGACGGTAAGCCGAACCACAGCATATGGAACTTGGAAGACATGTGACCCAGAAGACAAGGAGCTGTTGCTTTGTACCTTCTGCTCCTCCGCTTCGATTTGGACTTCAAGAGCCTGTACATGAGAACGGGCCAAAGTTGCTCATGGACCCTGCTTCTCAAAAAGTAAGGCTCAATTTGGCGTTGACGAATATAGTCTACTGTGAATTCTTAGCTTCAATTCCGTGTGGCCAAACACAACACAGAAAACAGAGCGACCATCGCGCAATCCAGATTACCAGGAACCCCAACCAGAGCATTGGCACCCTTCTTGCACACAGCTCCCTGCATGTTGCCTCTGTGCCGGAGCTCATGCTTTTCAAGGATTTTCAGGGACGCCCCCCGGCTGGAAAAGCGAACGTCCTATGATGCTTATGATGCTCACTCCAGAAGGGGTTGGCCCCCGAGCTCGAAAACTGGCCAAAAACGACAGAGGTTTGCAAAACAGCAAATGTGAAGAGCATCTTCAGGGAGCTCTGGTGTGCGACATCACGGCGCTGTTTGGAGCGCACCTCACTGCACTTTCAGAGCTGAAGTGGCCACACTCTCTCCGCTTCTGCGGTGGACCGCCTCTAAGCCAAGCCCCTTCTCCAACTCTATAGTCTTCTTTTAACAATCGGAGCGCGCTGGCGTCTCATCATCTCAATGGGGCATTGAAAGGTTTGGGGATGGCATGCGGAAGTGACCTATGCGAGCTTGGTTTGTCCTTCTGATCTGACAGCCCCGCTGAGTAGAGAAAACCCATTTGACCACTGCTGGAAAAATCTGGGCCCAGTGCTCGGCGAAGCTCAGGTTCTTCAGCATCCTGTCAAAAGCCGCGTCGCCAGACTTATTCAAAAATCAAGGCTGGCCTCATTTGATGCCCGATCTGTGGGTGTTCCAAACTCGATTATAACACTTCCTATTGCAATGCTCAAGTGCTTCTGGTACAGTAGAAAATGCTGTGACATCTGTGAATTACGGGAGGCCCGATGCCTCGGGATTTGCAGCTGTTGATTAAAAGGACCTACGCATGCTGCAGGGGCGAAGTTTGCAAGCTTCAAGATTGAATGCTCAAGATTGCTCGCACCTATTGATGGAACCAGACAGGCTTGCAACAGCGCGCGCTGTTCGATCGCACACTACCTTCAACACCCTTTCCTGCTAGAGCAGCCACAAACCTTCCATCTTGCACCGCGATTTGAGGCGCAGAGAACATGACGTATACTGGGCTTGCTCTGGGACGCCCCGCCTTCCTCACAACGGGCAAACAGGCGCCAGAAGAGTTCGAGGCAGCCTTGGCAAGTCCAGGGACCGCAGCTCGTGACCACGTCCATGCCACCGCCAAGCGACGGACCGTTGTGCACACAGCAGCGCCTTTCGGCGAATCAAGAGGGATGTCTTCAACCTGTCATGTTCGCTCCAACGCATACGTTCAAACCGATTTGATGCCACTGGCCTCCGATGAACGCTCGAGCTTTGCGAACTTGGAGAACATCTTGCCCGCTTTAAAATGTAAGGGAATGTCGGTGTAGGCAGGGACCAGGAGCTTCAGAGTTGTTGATTCCTTGCTTCCATGTGCGCCTTCTTGCTGTTGTATTTGGTCCGCTGTGGACTTGACGAGGCTGCGGTCGCACACCGTGTAGCAGCCGTGCTGTGTAAAGGCCGTGTCTAGTACATCTGTTTCTCTGCACCAGCATTGCTTACATCACCGAGCTGACACCCCCTGGCCATGCAACACAATTAAGGCTAAGCGAATGCTGTTCGAGACCTTCGGTGATCGAGGGCGAGGGAAGGGGAAGTCACGGAAAGCCCCAGAGTCCAAACATGGGAGGCGAAAGGGTGAGAGCACCCAGCATTGTCAGCTTTAGGGATATTACGCGTTTGGCTTCCCTAGTTACTCACATTATAAATTTAGCGTCTAAAGTAGTCCAGGGGCTCGTGAGAAGTCTGCAGTCAAAAACAATGATTGAAAAGTCTTGAAGATAGCCTCGAACAAGTCTTGAAAAAGTCTCTGCGCCAAGCGAGTTGAAGAGCGCGTGTGAAAGGGCTATGAATGACACTTGAATACGGCTGCAATCTTGCAGAGCAGTCCTTTGCATAAAGCTGGGCTAGTGTCGGGGTACAGGGCCAGGGTTTGGAAGCCACCACCTCCCTCGAGCCTTGAGGCGAAACCCACAATCCTGCAAAGTGCCCTTCGCTTCGTCCTTTTGCTCTCAAGTACAGCACCATACTGTGCTGGTCAGCCACATCGCCTGTCGTGACTGTAGGCATCACTCGGGGACGGGACAGAGGCAGGGCGCGCATTGCAGAAAGGAGGGCTTGCATGCACGTACTCCACCGTCAACGTTTGCTACAAGACAATGGACAACAAAAATCAACGACACAAGATGGCGGAAGCTGACTAAAAGCGAGAAAGCAGAGGAGTCTAGTCTTGCAGTAGTGTCGCAGCAGGGTCTCGCACTGTCACCCACAAGTTTGGCGCCTAGGCCACGAACTCGCAGAAACACGTCCACATGGAGCTTCCCTGGGCGGATGCGGCCAAGGGGTGTCAGAGTTACAGTGGAAAGGTTCACGGGATGGAAGCGGGCTTTGCTTTGTTGGGCATCTTTTCGTCCTGGTATCGTGAGTGGCCTCGCGCAGGTTCAAGAGGACGGTGTCGCCGCAGCTGCCACTGGCCGTCCTGCGACCGAAAACGTCTTAAACGGACCTGCGCTTGGGGGGGGGTGGGGGTCGCCGGCAATTCATGGCACGTGTGCGACAAGCTCTGCGTAAAGCCCATAAAGTGCCTTGAAGGGGGGGGGGCCTAATCCTAGCCCCTGTCAAAAAAGGTTGCGTGGTGTGCAAGTACGGTATGTCATGACTTCACATGACTCGAAGAATCTCGAATGCAACAACGCCCATGGCTGCCTCGGTCACCACTCCACCCGGCACCCCCATGATCTCCGTGGACTCCACTCTCCTGCATCGGGAACTTTCTGAATTCATGCATCTCACTTATCGAAACGTACTGTACACTCTTCCCAAGGAACAGCAAGATGTCACGCAACAGCCACAAATTAAAGAAAACAAGTATCTTGCAGATGACATAGGTTGGAATGTTCTGAGATCGTTCTTATGTAGTGCCGTATCAGCCTCAAACTGTGTGTCGGACGCGGCAGCTGCAGAGGGAGCGCGAGCCACCAAAACGCGCAAAGCTCGGCATAAAGTCGTTAGGAACCCATGCAAGCAGGAATGACGGTGTGACCTTGCGCGCCCGAACACACTTGCGCGCGCACACACACGCACACACACACACACACACACACATGCACATGCACATGCACACATGCACAGCCCACGCGCACCTTGACCGGAGCTGTCATGTCCCCGTCCGTGCCCGGCAGCATCCGAGAGTTTCAAGTTTCCAAGCTGGACACCGTCAGAACTTAATCAACAAACTTTTCGCGTCTGTTCGCACTTCGCACTTCGCCTCCGGCACGCCCTCGACCCGCATCGACATCTCGCTGAGGTTCCTCGCGCTTGCACACTGACTCACGAAAGCAGAGTCGCAGCAGAGAACTGGGAGCACACCGCGGGGAGCATACTCTCCTCAGGTAGACAAGGCGCTGCTCCGGGCCCGCGAGGCTCTCGTCCACCTGGCAGACGCTCACAGTGTAAACGCCTATAGACTCCATTCCCCTCCCGCTTCCCGCAAGGGCAGGGCTGCTCACCTCACCACCAATCGCCCTCGCCAACCACCAATTCCAACGTTGGATAGCGTCCTGGGCTACTGGATGGATCTTCGGGGTGGCTAACACCCGGTATGAGAGGTTTCACGCGGGACCCCACACTACAAGCAACCTGGAAAAGGCCCCAGGCTCAAGCATCTTCGGCAAAGCAAAGCTTGCAAGATGCCACGCCCAGCCATCCTGCAAAAACTCAAGCTCCAACTTAACAACGATGCTCCGGGACTCCGTGTTCTCAAGTCTTTGAAAACGGTTACCCTCATACCGACGGCATCACTGCATCGCGCGCTCGCAAGGCACACAGAGCCTACCAAGCGCAACGAAGCTACCGCTTCGAGCCCCCCTCAGTGCGGGGGAGTGTTGGAGAGCTAGGTCGCTAGGCTCTGAGAATTCAGGTTCGGCACGTGCGCAGAGAATGAGAGAGGACCGGAGAGAGAGAGAGAGAGAGAGAGAGAGAGAGAGAGAGAGAGAGAGAGAGAGCGAAGACAGCGATAAAGACAGAAGGACACAAATAACTATTGAAGGAAAGAACGAATGAATGAGAAAGAACGACAGCAAGAACGAAATAAACACAATGAACGAACAAACGAATGAAATAAGGAGACAAAGAAGGAACGAAATGAAACAAGAAAGCAAAGAATGAGAATAGCGACAATACAGAACATAAAGACAAACATTTGCAATAAATCACACACACCCAAAAAGCGGAAATGAAGGCAGAGAGGAATGGAAACACAGGAAAAACTGGTCTCCGAAACGGGCCACACGGGCCCTTGCTTTCCCGGGCGAAGCTGCGAAACAGCGGGCTTTGGGGCACCACAATCCGCAGCGCTTACATCCAGGTTCCCGCAAACTACGATTTGACCGTGGCCTCCCGTCCGGTAGATGCTGTTATTCCCCCGCCCCCCCGCCCCCCCCCGCCCCCCTGCCCCCCCGCCCTCCCGCTTTCCTCAGGTCCTTATTTCTCCAAATACTTGCTTTCCCATCCTCATTGACTATTCAACAGAATGCATGGCATCAATGCTCCGAAGTTATTTTGTTGGAAAAGGCTAGCTCGCACGCACATCTTGTCAACACTCCTCGATTCCATGACGTCAAAACGGCATAGAAAAAGACGCTCCGAAGAAACCCGCTCCCCACAACGATCCGCCCAGTGGTTGGTAAGCTTGCAGCTGAGTTTGCAACTGTTGTCGCGTAACCGAACAACTTGTCTGCGGCGCAGAGTATATAAATTGGACCCTTTTCAGCAATCTTTTATTTGGAACCATCGTTGCAGAGCCCCCTCTCACTCTGTCCCTCCCTCTTTGCTTTCACGTGTCCTGCGAAGGGCTTTTGGCCTGGCCTGCGTCTGCCTCAAGGCAACATTTTGTGTGGGAATCCTGAGTTGAACCTGTCCGGGCCCTGGCTAGCATCATAGATTGTTTTCAACAAACTTTTAAGTGTTAGTGTTGAAGCCTACTCCTGTACATGTCATCCTGTAGCAGTTGCACCATGCAGTTTTCCGTTTGCTTTCTAGGCCCAAAGCCTTGAGCATGAAACATTCTAAATATGTACAGCATTTCACAGAGTAGGTGCCAAACCCTACAAAGTAGATATACCTTTGAGGACTTTCGTTTCCTTGTTGCTTGCGTGTAAAAAGCTCCGCGCTTAGTTTGAGTCCTTGCAATGGCTGATTTCAGAGGGGAATACGGCACCAATCCACCGCATCCATCTCCACCTCCCGGAGGGGATGGTTTGCAGCACTCAGGTTCAATGCCACCACGTGAATCAGGCCAGTCAGGTGCAGTGGGCCTTGAACCTAATACGGCTACGGGAGGGGCGTTGGGAGGCACAGGCCAGCATGAATCATCGCGAGGTTCAAGGGAAGTGCCACCAATGTCGACCACCAGTGAGGGTGGTGAGAGCGCACACCAAATTGTGCATGTGCCCGGCAACACACCGGGCGGGAGCCCAGGTCTGCAGACCAGCACTGGCATGCCAGGTACCGCGAGTGGTGAAGCAGCGCCAGGTGGAGCAGTCGCTGGGGACTCCCATGTTGAGGGGTTCCTTACCCCACGTTCCCAGCAAGGACAGGGTTTGCAAACTATTGCAGAAATGGTTGAGGGTTTCCCTGGGGCTGGGCTCCAGCTCATGTCAAGGGTTGGGGATTTTTTCAGAGTTGCCCGCACTGAGATCATGCAAGTCCCGGTGTGGCAGGACTCACACGCAACGCCACCACGAAGTGCTACCCGTTCCATGGGTAGTCCGGGGGGTGCACCAGGGCAGTTGGCTTTGGGAGATGGGAGTTTGGGTTCTGCTAGTGGGTCGCCGCCGCAAGTGGGGCCACAAGGAACGCCAACATCCTTTGCACCACCGCACCCCGGAAGGGAGGGCTCGCTCCTGAACGCCGACATGCTGCAGCGCATGCAAGTTTTGGAACGTAGGGCTCCCCTATTGTACGGTAACATGCCTGATAGGCCCCAATCCCGTTCAGACTCAACCTCCTTGCCCCAGGACGCAATTCAAGCGGAGGTTGCTAGGCAGTTGGCGGGGTTTGATCAAAGGGCTCAGGCTCAGGAGTTGAGAAATCAGGCCCAGGACCTTGAGATCCAGCGTTTAAGGAGGCAACTTGAGGAGGAGAAGGCTATGAGGGAGCAGTTGGCGAGGGAGGCGGCAGCTTCAAGCAGTGCCCCGCAGGCCCCACCGCAAATGCAGGTCCCCATACCCCTCCAGGTGCCATCATCGCAAGATGCTCAGGTCCACACTTCCTCTGCGCATCAGGTGCAGGATGTTGCAGCGCCGGCGGTTGGTGCTTTGAGAGCGCCCGCTCAAGCTGCAGCAGCAGCCGCGTCAGGGTTTTGGTCCAACTTCTGGTCAGGGTTGCAGGGTTCCCATAGGTTGCCCAGCAGTGCAACCCCGCCCGGAGGGGTCGGGCAGTCCTACGACACAGCACAGGTGAATTTGGCTTGTTCTGCTCCAAACCCCCCTTCTCAGGCCGAAAACCTGGGTCTGGGCCAGATCTGGCCTCAAGGCTCAGGAATGCCACAGGTGCCACAGGTGCAAGGTACACAGGTGCCCGCATCTCCGCCCGGAGGGGTTGGGCCCGCTGCCTATGCACAGGTGCCACAGGTGCAAGGTACACAGGTGCCCGCATCTCCGCCCGGAGGGGTTGGACCCGCTGCATGTGCACAGGTGCCACAAGTTTCAGGCGCAGGTACACAGGTGCCGCATGCGCAGGTATCAGGTGCCCAAGCCAGTGCAGCTCCAGGAGGAGCATCTGCAGCAAGTGCAGCGCCCTCCTCGGGCAATCCCATGATGGATGCCTTGTTTGCAGGAATGCAGCAGCTTCAAACCATGCAGGCGCAGGGCATGCGGGATAAGAGTGTTGTTAGCAACGCCCCTGAAGCCGTCAAGCCAGGCACTACTGCACTTCCCATGCTGAAAGCTCCTGATCCGATGAGTGGTTCGTTGGATTTTCAGGATTGGTTGGAGTTAGTTGCAGGGTTGATGGGTGATTTGTCCGATTCCTCGCATGATTGGTGGACCGCAGTGCTGCAGGTGAGCCGTGACGCATATGAAAGGTGGGTTAAGGCTACTCCGCTCCATCGCATCAGGGTAGAGGTTGACGAGCGCCCGGAGCTGGTGGAGGGAAAGTGGTCCAGGGTCAATGCACGTGCGTGCGCCATGATTTTAGCAGCCCTAGATCAAGGGGTAAAAGCGGAAATGGTAGCTCGCAGGACCACTCAAGTAGCCACTCAAATCATGTTTCGGCTTTACACGTTGTATCAGCCTGGAGGTTCCACGGAAAAGGCATTGGTGTTGAATCACCTGCAAAATCCCAATGTTGTTCAGGATGTGGTGTCAGGTGTGTCCGCGCTGAGGGCATGGGGTAGGTGGCACAAGCGCTGCATTGACTGCGGTATGGTAGCCCCAGATCCTACAGTTCTTGCCGGTGCCCTCACCGAAATGACCAACCATATCCTAAGCCAAAACCCGGACCCCATGTTCCGAACTCAGATGGTTCGCAGCATGCTGCACATCGAGACTCACCCTTCGGAAGATGCGGTTCAGGAGTATTACAAGCACTTGTTAGCCGAGTTTGAAACCATGGCTGGAGCACAGATTGCCACACAGGGTGGGTCAGGCAACAATGTCGCTTTGAAGGCCATGGACGCTAAGGGGGGTGAAACTAAGGGTGGGGGGAAGGGTAAGCCGTGCAAGTACTTTCTTACGCCTAAGGGGTGCAAGTTCGGTGCGAAATGCAAGGCTCCTCACTCCATGAGCGACCTGCCAGCGGCTGAAAGGTTTAAGAAGTGCCAAAATTGTGGCTCTGAGGACCATCGCGTCAAAGATTGCAAGGCTGGAAAGGCCGAGCCAACGGCACCGGAACAGAAGCCGTCAGTCCAGGCAGCCTCCACCTCCACGTCATCCTCCGCGCCACCCGTTGTCCAGGCCACGCCTGTTCTGTCCATGGATTCCTTCCTTCAGCACGCATCCCACGCCTTGAGGCAGCTTGAAGCTGCGCATGCCACTCATGGGCAACAGCCGTCGCAGGGTCCAGTATCCACAGTGCCTGCCCCAGCGGCCCCCACTCCTGACGGAGATGGTGTGCAGCAGCCTTCAAATCCATCCCTCAAGAAGCTCACCATTTGCTCAAGCATGCCAGCTAGTTGCCTTCTAAATGACCCACAAGCAAACCCCCCTTCTCGAGCCGAGATCGAGGGGTTGCCCGGTGCTCAAGCCGTGGAGTCCGAGCCACCTTTCATTGGACATGCCCTTCTAGACTCAGGGGCCACGCACCCTTTACGGCCAGCATCGTCGCAGGAGGAGTGGGTCAAGACAAACAAGGTGCAGGTTGGTTTAGCGGGGGGCCACACATCACACATGCGCATCACCAAGCATGGGGTGATACTCACGCCTCCCGGGAGGGATGAGCTGCCGACTGCAATTGTGCCCCTAGGACAGCTTGTCGCGCGGCTGGGGTACATGTTGAGTTGGACAGCTGATGAGTGTTTCTTGCGTTCCTCTGAGGGTGAGCTCACCACGTTGATGGTTCAGAACGGTTGCCCTGTGATTGAGCATGATAGGGCGTTGACGCTAATCGCTGAGTTGGAGGCTCAGCGTGAAAACGCACGCAGCACGTTTGCAAACCGCGCTGCAAACGAGGTCTCTTCAACCCTCGTCATAGCCAAAGCACTTCAGGC